TTTTTTTTTACAAAAATAATGATTAAAAATTAAAAATTAAAAATTAACCTTTCACTTTTTAACAAAGTTTGATCACTTATTAAAGTGCATTTTTTCGACAACCCATTAAACTACAGTAACACTATTAGATCATGACAGAAAATGCGTTAACATGATTACCTTACAACTTTAAAAGGATAATAATAATATTTTCTGGAGTGAAAGAGGTCATAACAGCCACACAAAACTAATAAATATTAATTATTTTATTTATATTAATTAATATTTATAATTATTAATTATTTTTAACAATTAAATAAATACACTTTTATTATTTTACGTGCTCTTCAAAATTCAAACTTTTCTGGGTCGCGGTGAACCGAGTGAAAGTGAGAATATATATGTTGAGGTGTCACTTTCGACAGAGATATTTTTTTTTTCTTAACTTGAAGAATTGGTTGAAAAAGAGGGAATAGGATCTAAAATTAGAATTCAGATCTGGCGTCTAAACATATCACGTCAAGTAGATGATCACTAGACCGGCAAATGTTAGACTTTTGATAGAGATATTATTGGGACTAGAGCTATGAAAAATATAAATCTAATGGCAACAATAATCTACTAGCTTTTATTGTTCAAAATGTTCTATGATTTGTCTAATTTCTGGTGTAATAATGCCGTTTGCCAACCACACAATGGATTGATATTTTATTGGCATGTGAATCTTTGCTTTTGTTTTTTTTTTTTTTTTGTACAAAATCTTTCCCACAGCCTACTGTGTTCACCATCCTGCTTAGTTGAAATTGAGGGATAATTGGGGCTGTCTTACTAGTAAAATCTCCTCCATTAACAACTAGATTTTTATTTTTTTTAATTTCGAATTGAATTGTAAGAGATAATTTTTTAATTTTTTACACTATCATGTTATGTCATTTATACATAAAATCTATTATTGATATAGGTATTATACTAATTTTTTTGTGCATTATTGACTTACACTAAAAACTAAGATGTATATTGACTTCATGAGTAATTTATAATTTACAAACTTAATTAAATTAAACTTTTTAAGCATATGGGTATTACAATTAGAGTTGTAAAATAAATAAAGTCAAATTCCTTAAAATTTGAATTTGACTTAATGTTACATACAATAATAAATCAACTCAATTTAAATAACTGGATTTTGAATTTGATTTTGTACTTGATTCATAAGTTTTATTTGGTACTTAAATTTAATAAAAGATTTAAATTAAATTAAAATTAAAATTTTC